CGGGTACGTGGACGGGCAAGGAAAACTTAAGGGGCAATAGTAATGATCCCATCTTGGCCTATTACCATTTCCTTATCGTTTGATCTGGGCTTCTCTAATGAGAAATTGGACCAAGGAGCAGTTGGATAAACAATTAAAAATCAAGCGTTGTAGTTTCCAAGCCCGCGTTCTGTGCCTACAGGTGTTTGGGCAAGGCATTTAGTACACCTTCAACTTGAGTTAACCCAGCCACTGATGGGCCTTGAAGATGGAGGCGCATACTTTGCCTTTTAGCTCTCAGTGTAATGGAAAGACAGGCATGCTCTGAACTAACAAAAATACAAGACATTGGGTCATTAACATAGACGTCTGATCTGTGAAGTTGAATTTAGTTACAGACTGCCAACATATTCTCTCTGGGGTGGAGATGGGTAAAATTAAGCAGAGATTACGCAGATTATAATATAGGCCATTTTATAAAAATATGTGCACATTTCTTAGGAAGCAAAAGAAAGTGGTAAAACAAGAACCAGGAAGGTAGACGAATGGATTTAAGATCAGACAGCGGCTTACAAAGTCATAGTTGTGTGAACTAAGGAAAATGGGGTTTTATACTTCTGGGATCTAAGGGGAGTGCCAGATGATGCTTGACAGTATACAGTGGTTATGTGGAAGGTCCTGTATGCTTTGCTAAGAAACTTGGACTTAACCCAATTAGTGTTACAGGTCAGAAAAAGGCTTAAAGTAGGGTAGAAATATGAACACATTCATTTCACATTCTGGGAATGGATCAGGAAAGTCAACTGTCAGAATGGTTCAAATGTATAGTGGGGAAGACTGCCCTGCCCGTTCTCCAAGTTGCTGTGGAGGTCAAACAAGATAGTGTGTTTGAGAGCTCTGAATATATAAAGAACCACACAGTTACAAGATAATCATTATTATTCTAAGCCCTTGAACACCATTTAAGTCAAGGAATGTAGGAAACTGCTTCCCAGAATAAAAATTTGAATGTTTTGTACTGTACTGGACTATGTAACTGTTTCCCTTGAAAGTTTTGGTTCAAACTGGAAAAACCAAGATACAATTCAGATATAGTATAGTCAGTCTATTTAAAAAACCAAATGTAGCTGGGCACAGTGGCTCACGCCTATAATCTCAGCACTTTGGGAGACTGAGACAAGAGGATTACCTGAGCACATGGGTTCGATACCAGCCTGAGCAACATGGCAAGACCTCATCTCTACAATAAATCAAAATATTGGCTGGGTATGGTGGCATGGGCCTGTGGTTGCAGCTACTTGGAAGGCTGAAGTGGAAGGATCGCCCGAGCCCAGCAGGTCAAGGCTGCAGTGGCCATGAGCGTGCTACTGCACTCCAGCCTGGGCAACAGAGTGTGACTCCAAAAAAATAAAAATACACACATATATGGCCACATATACATACAGTATAATTTGGCTATCTTTTTGGAGTGGGATTCCTTTTATCTTTTTCCTTCTACGTTTCGAAATAAGAATCTATAACAGGCTGGGCACGGTGGCTCACCCCTACACTTTGAGAGACCAAGGTGAGAGAATTGTCTGAGCCCACAGGTTTGAGATAAGCCCAGGTAACTTGACGAGACCTCATCTCTACAATAAATCAAAAAATTAGCTGGGCATGGTAGCATGCACCTGTGGTTCCAACTACTTGGAAGGTTAAAGCAGAAGGATCGCCAGAGCCCAGCAGTTTGAGGCTGTGGTGGCTGTGAGCATGCCATTGGACTCCAGCCTGGGTGACAGAGTAATACTCCAACTCAAAAGAAAAAAGTAGACCCAGGAATGAGGCTAATATAAAACAGCAATAGCCGGGCTCGGTGGCTCAGCCTGTAATCCCGCGCCATTGGGAGGCTGAGTGAGTGGATTGCCTGAGCCCGCGGATTCGAGACCCGCCTGAGCAGCAAGACCTCATCTCTACAATAAATCAAAAAATCAGCCGGGCATGGTAGTGCATGACTGTAATTCCGGCTACTTGGAAGG